AGGGCAATTTTACTTGCACCAGCAAAAAGTCTGAAGAGCCAAACCAAAAAAGAACAAGCAGAGGAAAAAATAACTGATTGTACTTGTTTAAACAAGGAGTCTAGAAATTAAAAAAAAAAAAATCCCCCCAAATTAGGGAGATAAGGAGAGAGAAAAATAACAATACAAACAGACATGTGCTCCACTATTAAAAAAAGCAAATGACGTTCATTCTTCCAGGAACTGGCATAATCTGTGTGTTTGTCTGCATGCAAGACGCTGTGGTCAGGAAAACATTTTTGAGGAATTGGTCATGTTGCAGTGTTTTCAAATGTCTGGTTAAAAGCAAAGGAAAACAAGTCTTTGCATCCTAAAGTTTTTCTTTTTTTTTCCCTTTCGTAGCATCTCATTCAATGAATAATTGTAAGCTTTGAAGCAATGATTTACCTCACTTCTTTCTAACCAACTGTGTTTTGCTTTGGGGAAATGCAGAACCAAGTGGCTTTGTTTTTCAGCAGCCTCCCCTTAGAGTTTCAAGTAAGCCATTCTCTCCTCAGAAATCATTTCCTTCAGCTTGCAGAAACTGGAAGAGCCAGACCATCCTTCAGTTCACTCTGATGTTATAACAGTGCAATTGCACTGATCTCAAATTAATTACCCCTTAGTGTGAGCGATTTCAGTCCTCAGAGCTGGGCTTAAGCCAGCAAGACGCGATCTGGCTCAAGGTGTTTCTGGAGTGTGGTAACAGGAAAGTTTGTTCAGGCCTGTCTCCATCTGGAAATTCAAGGTAGTACTCATTGCCTTGGGAGGGTAGGATCCTTCACTTTGTCGGTTTTGGGGTTGGTTTTGTTTTGTTTTGTTTTTTTTGCTTAGACAGCTAAAGCAGGACTATCCTGTCACTCACCCTAGTTTTTTTCAGAGTTAACACCACTGACTTCACGTGAACAGACCATCAGAATGTCAAAGAGAAAGGAAGGCAACCTTCTGCTTCAAGGCACGAGACCAGGAGTCAGGAACAAACTGGGTTACTCTGCCTTGCTGTGAGACCTGGAGCTGGGCCCCTAACAGCCCTCCGTCCCGGGGCTCGGTCCTCCATCCCCCAGCAGCCTGGGGCCATGGTAGCTGGGGCTGCTGCCACTGCCTCTTTGCCCCTACCCACATGTTCCTGCCCCTCTGTGGCTTGTACTGGTAGATAACTAGTCCTACATTTAAAAGTTTTCTTACAACCTCAATCTGTTCCTTTCTGGAAGTGGTGTAGTGGTATTTATTTAGCTTGTATTGGTAGGAAACTGGATGCTTGTGAGGTGCTGGCGATGTTCCCAGGCTTCTGAAGGCATCTGCCTTCCTCCTCCTGCTTTCTCTCTCCGGCAAGTGACCTATGCAAAGAAAGATCCCTCCAAAAACCCTGATATGTACCCAGCTCCCGAAACTGCTCTTGTCTGTCCCAAGCACCTGATGAGTAACTTCCTTTCTCCCGCTGTTGCCTTCCCTCTCCATTTCTTGGCAAGCCTCTTCCTCACACAAAAATGTTATCCCTCCTCTTCACTGTCGAATTCAGTCCAGGCCCTCCTACTATGGGCTGCCATCCCAACTCTTATTCCCAAGGCGCAGAGCAGGAGGCAAGTTAACTCCACGTTGCCCGGGGAGAAATGCCTCGGCGTCCCACAGATGACGTGAATGTGCAGTACAGTAATGACTGCCACCAGAGAAATTTTGCCGGTGCCTGCCCAAGGAACTGCCAAAATCTCTGAAAAGGAAAGCAGCTGCTGCTGAGCAAGCAGTTCCTTGAGGAGGAGGAGCCGCTTCCAGCTCAGACCCTAGATCCCATGCAAAATCCGGTGGTTATGAAATGGCTAAAGGTCTTAAGGATGCTATTTTTTGTTTGTTTGTTTACTTAGAAGGCTCCAGGGAGACCTTTATAGCAGCCTTCCAGTACTTAAAGGGGGCCTACAGGAAATATGGGGAGGGACTCTATCAGGGAGCTTAGTGATAGGATGAGGGGTAATGATTTTAGACTGAAAGAGGGTAGATTTAGATTAGATATTAGGAAGAAATTCTTCACTGTGAGGGGGGTGAGACACTGGAACAGGTTGCCCAGAGAAGCTGTGGATGCTCCATCCCTGACAGTGTTCAAGGCCAGGTTAGATGGGGCTTTGAGCAACCTGGTCTAGTGGAAGGTGTCCCTGCCCATGGCAGGGGGGTTGGACTGGATGATCTTTAAGGTCCCTTCCAACCCAAACCATTCTATGGTTCTGTGGTTGACTCTATGATTAATTGCCATGAAGGCTAGAAAAGGGCTGCCCTGAGAAGGCGTCATGAGACTCCCAAGACATGAAAACTAGAGAAGTACAGGGATGACTTGATGGAGATTGAGAGCCTGATTCTGATTTCAGTCACATAGGTCTTAAGCCACTGCAATTTTTTAACTTCATGAGGGTTATTCCACTTCATTTTACATGCAAAAAGTGAATTAGGCGCTTCGTAGCCCACTGGTTCCAGCATTATTGCCAGGAGAATCTGCAGCTGCCTGTTACTTCGTTTTATTGTAGTGTTGCTTCATGTTTTAACATCTCGTTTGTGGCATTTATGTGGTCCAGTCACTCCCTCCTGAAGAGAAAATCCACTGGAAAAAGTTAAAGGGAAGTAAACCTCTGCAAGATCCTACTTGCAGCTTCACTGCCAAGTACTTTGAAAAGGAGCATTATTGCTGTTGAAAAAAACCTGGGAGTTGTTTGTATAAAGCTTACCGGCATGTTTCTTGATAGACCTTGAAACAGATGTGCTGTTCCTAAAGTGCTCGGGAAAGATTTTGGCATTATAAATGTACGTTTGTCAAGAGGGTCAAATTTATTCGACTGGTTTGCGGTTAATCCCCAGGGCGATCTCCTATCACAGGAGAATGCTAGTGAAAAGCAATGCGAGTTTTCACCATTCTTTTCAAGTGATGTGCCATAGCCCCAAGCTGGTGACAGCACTACATTTCTCCACTGAGACTGTTAGATGGGGAAAGAATCAGAAATGCTCTTTCCTTATACCTGAAAAACAGAAGCTGACGTACAGCTTGAGAACACCACAAATACTATAGGCAATTAAGCACCAAGAAAGGGCAAGAACTGGCTAAAGCAAAACATCGGCTCAATTAAAAAATAGGCATAAATCAGCCTTAGATGGATTTGGACTGGAAGTTAGGAGCATGCCTTTCCAAGGCTTTGGAAAATTCTCCTAGTAGTAGCTCTCAAAGCAACAAATGAAAAGCAAACCAATTTAAAGGTAAAGCTCAATATATGTAAAAAGAAATTTCTGAGATGTCCTGAAATAACCCAAGTCAAGACTCAGTGACCCAACAGATTATTTGTCTGTCTCACTAAGTAAATTTGCCAGTCAACACCAACTGTTGAGGTTGGACATCAGGCCTGATGTGTCACACATGAATCAAGTTAGAGCTCTTTCTCCTGAGATTGAAATCACCAATTTATTTCATTTTGTCCAGCAAAATCCATCCAGCTGCTTCAGCCTGTGTATTACTTTCAGCCTGTGTATTACTTACACAGGATGAATTCATACAATCAATTTCTGATGAAAGCTCCATATCTTACTATCAATCTCCTTTTCTGTATAAACCTTATGAAAATACTTATGTGAGCCCACAATGCTGGATGAATCTTTTCTCATGTTGCATTCCGTATAAAAATATCATAGAATCATAGAATTATTTAGGCTGGAAAAGACCTTTAAGATCATCGAGTCCAACCATAAACCTAGCACTGCCAAGTCCACCACTAAACCATGTCCCTAAGCAGCTCATCTACCAGACTCTTAAATACCTCCAGGGATGGGGACTCAACCACCTCCCTGGGCAGCCCATTCCAATGCTTGAAAACCCTTTCAGTGAAGAAATTTTTCCTGATGTCCAATCTAAACCTGCCCTGGCACAACTTGAGGCCATTTCCTCTCGTCCTATCACTTGTTGCTTGCCTGAGCATGCCTGAGCATGCGTTGTCTTTGCAATGTAAACAGCAACCCAAACAAAATCTCGTGATTTCATCTACCAAGGCGCAGTTCAAACCAGGGGGCTCACTGACTGTAGGCATTCAAGGTTGCAATTTGGTAGTGCCTGTAGCTATTGTAACACGTTTTGTTTTGCAGGTCCTCTCTTCGGGCTGCTGATTTTGAGCTCAGTTTGAAAAGACAGTGTGATGATTATTATGAGTGACTCCATGGAGGCAACATGAAGTGTCTTGGTTTGCTTTCTGTGGTGCCCACATTGGTTTGTTCCACTCTTTTCATGCTTCTGGTATAGCTGATACCTGCTAGTTGCTGCCTGAAAAGCAGCTTCACCCAACTAGATGTTGTCTGATTGGAGCGGTAATTGGAGAGAGACACCTCTACTTCTGGCACAAAGCCTTTCCAAATGCAGGGAGGCTTTGCAGCAGGACAGCGATACCTTCTTGCCTTCCAGCTCACCGCAAGAGCAGCCCAGTGAGGGTCTCATTATAAATTCCACCTGGATTTACTGAATAGTAATGCTGTTTCCTTTAGCAGTATATTATTCTTATACAGAATAGCATAGTATCTAGTGGTTAGCTTTGCCCAGTTCACCACCATTAGCTTTGTATGGGGTGAAGGAGCCTGTGTTTACTACCAAATGAAAGGAAGGCATCCACAATTCTCCTTTTAATTAAGCTTAGCCTTGTAAACTATGAAAAGAGCATTATATTAAGGCCAATGTTTTATTGTCAAGCAAGCAGGCTCCTATTGTGCATATTGCCAAGGAGAGATAACAGGGCTCTTATACTGTCAGAAATTTGTCCTGCCAAGTGGGCATCAGGTTTGTCTAAAACATGCCCAGTGTGTGTGTGTGCCGCCAGCCAGAGAAGGTTTGAACTTCACATTGATTTTTCTCATTAAATCCCCAGGCAGTGAACGCACATTGATAGGTGCTTCCTCTGCTGACAGAAGACCCAAACAGGGATCTGCCAAACAAGCCTCAAATGAAAATTTTCAAATGAAAATGCACTTACCCATCCTGGACTTACAGTATTTTAGTAGGGAGTCTGTGGTCAGCTTATGTGTGGTGTCACCCCTATCTTTTTGTCTGCACCAGTGGAACTGGGTGTTCATTATAAACAATCATGAGGCAACTGAAAAAGAGAAATTAAAATTCAGTTGTAAGCCAGGTGGGGACTGAGGAGACTTATCTTATGGACTAAACCTGATTCATTTGTTTACATTTAACAGTGAGAAGGTTGTTTGCAGTCCAAACAGTAAATAGGAAGACAATCTGAGAAAGAAATCTCAGAGGGAGAAAAATCTGGTCAAGGAATTCTCATCAATCCAAACAATCTCCTACAGCATGAAAGACAGAGTTCCTAACTTTTTTTTTTTTCTGCTATGAATAAAATTTTCATGTGTTTGCATGACTTTAAGTCTGAGTTTGGCAGTGTGACCTCTCCTCTTTCTCTTCCCACCCCCAGTCTAAAGAGTCCTGAAATATGGAGGATGTTTGATGTAAAGTCCAAATCCCCTTTTGGGTCTATGTCCTTTATGAGGACAAATTAAACCTTAGACAAACCTGCAGTTTTGCAAAGTTTCGACTACACAAATTATAGTTATTACCATTATGATGTCAATATTTTTCTTTTCAAGACAAGTCCTTGTTTGACATTTATTCCAATTTCCATATACATCAGTGGTAGTACTGCCTGTTTATGGACTTCAGAATTTGCCTCCAATACAGATAAGCTGAGGTTTTCTAAACCTAAAAATAAATGAGAAGTCTGTATGTTTTGTTTTGCAGGTTTCTGAATATTTAGCAATACATTATTTTACAAGGGGGAAAAGAATGCACTCCTTGATCAACAGCTTTATTTTTCTAGTGAGGAGTAATAATATGGTAATCTCTTCAAATAAGCAGTAACTTGTCAGGGCCTTGAGTGCACCAACAGATGATGATTACCCTGACATAACTGATAGCTAAGAGACTGTCTTGAAGAGCACAAATTGGAAAAACGCAGAATGCAGCACATTTTATCAGTCCAGATGTCTTACCCTCCCCTTCAATCATTTTTAGTGGTTTCTTTAAAGATGATTGAATGGTGGTGGGTGCATCAGGTCCAAAGATCCTGCAGTACACTGGGATGCTCTAAATGTTATTTTTTAGGGCAGTTAAATGCCAAGCAAAGTTCTGTACTAAGCCTGCATTCTTAAGAGTATGCAGGCATACCTTCACCAAGTAGCAGGTAGATCAGGAAATCACATTTCTCACCCTTCATGGTTAGAAAAGTTTTAAAAACTGATGAGAATAAAAATAATAGAGCAACAGCTGGAACGATCCGTTGTGGAGGTATAGTTTAAAGAGAACTGGCACTAGTTATCTGCAGTAGTGGAGTCAGCAAAGTGAAGATCTATCTGCAGGACAAACCTTAGAGAGCAGCTACCACAGCCATAATCTTTCTATTGATATCAGGAGGGTGATAAAATGGATTAGAAAATAATTAAATCTGACACTCTGACAGAGACGAAATGTCATTCAGTCAAAACCCAGAAAGAGTCAAAAGTCTCATTTTGGTGTTACGACACATCAAAAAAAAAAAAAAAAAGTCTCTTGGTTGAAGTCGTAAGGTAGGGGCTGGAATGGAGATGTGGTCCCCAGCCCCCTGGCCCAGGGGTTCATGCAGTCATTAGCAAGGGAGGAGCTTAGCCCACAAACAGTTTGGAGTTTATTGTAGCTACTATCCTTCACTGAATTTCTGGGCCTGTGTCCTGACTGTAATCCCTCTTCCAAAAAAAGCTGAGATGAACTGCACCTCGGTGGGTCGGTCCCCTTTGGCTCCTACATAGAGCATGGGAGCAGTTGGGCATCTGGGTGGCCTAGGTCATAGCGCTTGCTTGTGGCTGCAGAACAAACAGCAACCTCAAAAGTGAGGAAATCAGACCTCTGGAGATAATGGATGATCTGGGGAGCTGGGTCCCAGGTGGTTTGCAGAGAGGATGGGGAAAAAGTGAACTCCTGGCTGGCTTTAATGCTACTGGAAGGGGAGGTAAACGACACTGCGTGGGTTCAAAGGTTCTATCCAAATGCAGAGCTTTCTGGGTGTGTTAGTCCATAGCAACAGCAAGGTCATAATATCCTATTTATTCCAACACAGGAGTGAGGACATCAGCATCCCTTTGAGGGGACACCTATTTGACGCCTCTTCTTGGACTGGTCTCTCAAAAAAATAAGCTCAAACTGAGGGCTGGTTGGTTTGTTAATCCAGCCCAAGGGAAGAAGTAAAACAGGCAAGTAATCCGTCTCCATGTACGTACGCTGTGTTAGTGGCATCACAGGAGCTAAATGTGGAAGAAAAAAGGATGTGGAGATTTTTGAGGATAAGAACCCAGGAAGCCTATCTTAAAGCAAGACATGCTGCTCCCAGCTCTATCTTTACGAAAGCTCTATCTCTGGATCAGGAAACAAAATTGCTCTAACAGCTTGTTTTTCCAAGATAAGTCAAATTTTCACTGCCTCTCCTCTAACTTGCGCTGGCATGCTGTACACTGCATGCTTTTCTGTTTGCATACCAAAAGGTATCACGAGATAATTAATGCATCTAAACTAGCACTTTCCAAGAGAAAGAACTTTTCCTTTATTCTCAAGTTCCTAACATCCTGAGGTTTTGTTCCCTGACAATTTTGAGAACCGTACAGATTAACTTTTAATGGATAGGTGAAGGACACCACAGCAAGCGCAGCCCGCTATTTCACCTGTTTCTCGCTGAGGCAAATTACAAACTAAAATCTTCCCTGTATATTTGATCTAATTTCAATCTTAAAGTACATTTGAGTGAAAGGATGTAATATATTATTTAGAGCTGATCCATTAACCTATGGGTTAATAGCATTCATACCCTTAAAAAGCCACAGCTGATAGAATTTTTGAGAACTAAATAGCATCTGTGGAATATTAATTCCCTATACGCAGGTCTGGAAAAACAGCAGACTGCCTTTCAAAGTCAAAGGTAGAAAGCCCTCCGCAAACATCATTATCTGCACTGTTTCCTAATGCTGAATCCTTTCCAGCACTAGGGTCAGAGCTAGAGCCTTTCTTTTAGCTCCTGTTAGCAGGAGAGTTCACCTTGTCCCATTCTGCCCCTGGTTTGTGGGAACGTGAGTCTTGCAAGCTCCCTCCCCTCCGTAAAACTCTTCCTTGTGAAACAGGGTATCCACGGCCTTCCTTTTGCTAGTTTTCCTCTATTCCAGTAGGCTGTCCTTCCTCACAAATGCATGGATTTTGCCAAGGAAGCAGTTAGGGCCACTCTAATAATATAATTTAGCTGCTGAGCCGTGGTGAGGCATTGAAAAATGGCACTGGTACTGTTAAAGAAATGAGAAAGCCTGCCTCCTCCGGCTCCCTGATGTACAGCACACGTACATTGCGTGGTAGGGCACGTGCCGTGCCATCCTCCAGGTCTGCACAAAAGCGGAGGTGTTCTGCTGGTGGGACCACAACATCCCTCAGCCCTGCAGGGCTGTGGGAAAGCATGGCTGGGCTTCCAAGGTGGTTATGCCCTCTGAGTGCATCAAAGCGGAGAAAGAAGGGATAAGTGCAGCCTACTCTGTTCCTCCTGTTTAGCAGGCAGTATAAAACAGAGAGAGATGTAGGTCTTGATCAGGAGCCAAAGAGAAATTAAACATGAGATATTTAAGCAGAAATCTAACAGCTTGCTTTTTAATCATTGAGCTCAGGACAACTTTATCATTCATACCAGTATGAAACCTTCTAAGCAGGACCCAGCTTCCCACTGTTAGAGCTCCTTGCTCTTAGTACGAGTGGCTCCTTAGTCTCAGAAACAAAATCAATGCTGTGGTTTTCAAAATGCTGCCTAGGAAGAGGTGTGAATGGGAAGAGTGCAGAGAGAGTGAGGTACATGCATGCAAATGTGCAATCACAACAAACCCAGCTCAGCAGGCTTATGGATGCTCAATTAACAGCAAAATTGTATTTAAATAAAAATATTGCAGCCACCCTGTTAGAGAACAGATAGGATTTTCTTCTGTGTTGGAACAGCAGTGTCCCTTTAAATCAATGTTATTTTTATTAATTTTATTTTCCTGCCCTTTACTCGCAACAAGTCTGACTGTAGTCTCATTGCCAATGGAATATCTGAGGGTGAACGATGCAGCTTACTCGTTTTACTTTGATATTTTCGCTGGGGTTCACTGGAATAAATGACATTTGGAAATATACTGAGGTTCTCATGGGCTAAATCCATCTTTATTCAGGAAGAAGATTTCCTGTATGCTGTGCTTGACAAACATATTCCACTAAATCACTACTTTGATCCCACCCACATTCCAATACCACTGTGCATACTTTGTCTGACTTTCTTTATGAATCACTCAATAAAACACACCCAGTTCAAGATATTATTGGCAATGCTACAGTCTATGTACATTAAATCTCATTTTAAACAAAAACCTTTGAACCTGAAATGTTGCCAGTGCTTGGATCCAAGAAGATGTCGAAATGCAGTAATGTAAAGCTTCTTTATATACCTGACACTCTTTAACTGTCCCCACAGTTAAAAAATATTACAGCTTACATTTGTACCACAACCCAGCACCCAGTGGTTCAAGTCCTATATGATGGCTAAAAAAAAAAAGGAAATGGTCATTTATACACCAAGTGAACAAGGTTGAGTTGGAAATTATTGAGACAATGAGCCTAGCCAGGAGTTGCTTTAGGACTGCAATTGCCCTTTCACATCTCAGGTAATTTAATTAACCAAAGGAACTATTTTTGGACCAGACAGCTCTTCAAACTTTTAATACTTGCTATTACAAATGATGTGGCCCTGTATATCTTCAGATTTCATAACTCATACTGTATCACCATCTTCCTCAGAGATTATACAGTGGGAGGTTATGTTTTATTTGTATTCCCTCTGGTTTTGTGTAGGTTCATTTCAGATAAAACACTTCGTTCTTTGGATTCCCTCCCAGTTCAATAGCTGAAAGGTTCTGTGTAGAAACTGGCACATGTCAAGAACCATCACTCGGTTGTTCTC